GACACAAGACATTCTATTTTAGATGAGGATCTCTTCTTGGATAAATTTATTCAAGATAATGAAATGTCCCAAAAGAGAGAAATCTATTGAATTTCATCTTATCATCATGACTCAAAATTGGAGGCAATACAGCTCAATGTCAAGATCAATTATCAGTTATATTCCCTTGGGTAAGTTATTAAAATTCTTTACGCATCAGCTTCCTTAAGTATAACATGGATCCTGTATTCCTTACCTGCCTCATAGGTTTTTGTGAAGATGGATAAAATATAATACATGCAAAGTGCATAGCACAATGGCTGGCAGAGAAACAGAATAAACACCATATATATCACTATTACATTGCTGATCCTTCATTCTTGACCACCAAACCTTTATTTGTTTATTTTGCCTGACAAAGCTTAACATCCCTTGAATTTTTGAGTGTTACATGAAAGAAGTATAAAAAATATTTTCTTACAAACCTCCAAACCTAAAGATCTGCATAGTAGATCACTCAGCTAACTGTCATAGTTCTCTTCTACCAACAGTTACACCTACAGGCACCTCTTTAAGAGTCTGTCTGGATTTTTAGAACAGAAGAGAACAAAATGCAGAGGTGCTTCCTTTTGTTCTAAATTTCCAAAGAAATTAAAAAAAGCTCTTTTGGGAAATATTATGAAGAATCTATAGAATGCCCCTCGGCCAGACATCCAAGGCTCTCCATTATCTAGTCCCATCCTATTTAACATTAATTTCCTCTAAACTTCAACACAAATGTTCCATTTCTGTCAAGAGAGTCACCTTACTATTCAACCATTATATCTTTCTTCTCAAATCCATATTGTTCCACAGGGCTAAACTAAGATTTTTTCTTTCTTCTCCTATAATTAGGAAATTCCTATATAACCTTCAAGGTCCGGTTCAAATCCTCACCTATTCTATAAGACCAAGCGTCACTCCATCCTACATTTCTTTCACACACCTTTGAACTTTTATATTACATTGTTTATGCTGCAGTTTTGGTATACACAGTTTGACATTTTTATAAATTATTTTAATCATTTCTGATCTCTCACAAACTACTTTCAGACAGCAAGGGCTACAATTTAATATATCTTGCAATTCAGTAAGATGGCATTTAATAAATTTATGACTGGATGGATGAATAATGAATATAATTATGTACTATTTTTGCCAATTTTTTCACGATGGAAGTAAAATTCTCTGACTAAATAAGATTTTTTGATATCTTCTTTTGATTTTTTTAAGTACAAGAAAATTCTCTAAATGCATATAACCACTTTTTTCTTAATGTAGCTTTTCTTAAAAATACATTTGAGCCAAAATGGAAAAGAATTGCTGAAAATCTGTAACAGACATAAGTTAACAAATGCTAACTATATTACTGATTTGCGGTTTCTACCTTCTTTTAGGGTTTATCATACTGACTTATTCTGTACAGACAACCATGCTTGGATTTGAGAGGCTTTAGAAGAAGAAAAGTTTCCATAATCCTATGAGAGGAAAAAACTACAGAGTGTAAAGTTCAAAAATAAAAAGGTGGAAATGGAAAAATGTGTACCAAATACTATGGACTAAGGATATGCTCCAGGAATGAGTTCAAAGCTTCAAGGCAAACAAGTTCTAAATTATCTGAAGATCATTGAATGTTTCTCTTATTTGCATGTCCTAAAAACAAGAAAGAGTATGTTCTATGTTGTAATTAATATGTTTAATTTTGGTTTATTGGCTCTTGCTGCATATCTGTTTCTTAGTACAATGACTTCTAAAATGAGCACAGTGGTTATTAGGTACTTCATAGAAGTATCCTAATTAAGGTTATAGAACAGAGGTTACAATACTTTAGCTATTCAATACATGCTAATTTACTACTATTACCATTTGAATATATAAAGTATTGGAGTCCCTCTTTATTGTTAAATAAATATTTTAAAAATAAAACAACAACAAACATTTGAGAGGGAACAACACCTTAATATCTGAAGTTGGATTTAAGACTGTTATGTTAAATTTCATCATTCCACTATACTAAAGGCCTGTAAGACCAGTTTGCGTTATTTTCCTAAGAAGCTATACTTGAGCATTCATTCAGTCAATAAAGGTAGGTTTCACTTGGGCAGAATATTCTGGTTCATGGAATTTATTCAGCTACCAACTATCTAGATTACATAATTCAGAACATAATATTCTGTTAAAAGTCCATAATATACAGTTTGAAATTGTAACTGTGAATCGTTTATTTAAAACTAACTTTGATTTCCTATCTTAAATTCAAGTTACATATAAATTATACTTTTCTAGCAAGCAAAACCTTAAAATCATCAATCATAAAAATCAATAGTCATGTAGTAATAAACATTAAGAAATCTATAATTTCATATTCAACATGAATTCATTTCTTGCAGAAGTTATATTTTCTAGCTCTCTCATTTTTTAAAACTCTAATTTTATTATTTGCCCAATTTAACTAAAAATTCTAAAAGATGTTTTAGAGAAATTGCTTTTAAAATTAACTACAGGACTAAATAAAGCCCAAAGACGGGATAAATGTCACAGGAAAGCCCACCATTTTAAAAGAAATCTTACTATGATTCTATGTATTATATAAACATATATAAAACTATCATATATAAATATCATGGAATATGATATGTTTTTATATATCTAGAGCAATTTATTTTGGATATATTATTGATAATGGATAACAACATAATTTCTTCAGAAATAAAACTGTGGTCATTTAAATTTATATACTTGGCTTCCTATTTAGCAAATAACCCAAGAAAAAAATCTTACATTGCTAAAATAGCACAACTTAGAACATAAAAAACTCTGTTGATCTATACTATCTTGACAATATGTTCGATCTTTTCTTCAGAGTTTGCAAGTAAGTTTTTCAATTTTTGCACTTATAATGAAAGTGTTTAAGGATTAAATACATTGCCCTACTAGATTTAGTGTACTTGTTTGGTAAATTTCTTAAAATGATACTCTGTTTCATGTACATCATTGATTGAATGAAAATATTCAAATCAGCAATAATTTTAATCTCATTAATATCCACCAGGCTTAAAACTGAATGCAAATACACAATAATCAATCAATCACTATTTTTTTTAACACTTACACTATCTGACACAAGGCAAGTAAATAAAAAAAGCAAACGTTTTCAAATTCTGATTTTCCTCAATCTGTACTGGTACTGGATATATGGTAGCCTTTATATTTCATATTGCATAGAGAAAATTAAAAGTTTAATGATTCATATTCCATTATTTGATGATGCTTTATTATTATAAAAATAATAAATATTCATTTATATCATTGTCCTAAATATACCGCCAGTGATATGACACTACTCAAACTACATTGTATATTTTATTTTTTAAAAAATCAAGATGTTCACTATCATCTATAAATGTTTGCATCATCTGTAAATGTTATAACTTCACAGAAGTTATAAAAGAGAGTAGAGAAATAGGCTGGAGTAAGGCAGAAAGTCAATAAACCCTACACTTTAATGCCAATTCTGTAAATTCTTAGTCCCAGGTGATTTTAACCAGAAGTCTTTAACTAAGCTCATAGTTTTAGAATCTGGGTAGAGAGTCCTGGTATCTCTTTCAAGGCATCAGTTTTAAAAACATTCCTTGTATTCACTTGGCATAGGTAACTAAATTTCTAAACTATAAATGGCTGTGAAGAAGAAGAAAACATCAACTGATGCTTAGAGCTTCAAAATATTTACATTCTGCCATGCATATATTAAAAGATACTTCCTTAAAAAGTTGTCAAGGGTAGAGAAAGTGAACCATTCTGAAAGTGACAAAGAGTGTAAAATGAAATTTTATATGGAATAGCAGCTATCTGATATGAACATGGCAAAAAAATTTTAACGGTAATTGAAAGTTTGATATTAGCCTATAATTTGAAAATATATTACCTAATTATTAATTTCTATGTTTGTGTATGATTAGTCAGCCTTATTTTTATCTATACATTGTTAAAATTATAATATGTCCATAACAATGTTTGGCATAATTTTTTTTCTCAATTCAGAAACATGAGATTAATAACATTTTGAGCTACATTTCAAATTTATTACAACGACCATAAAATGCTGTAAATTAAGTATTCTGAATTAATGAAGATAATACATTTCTTTTGAAGGCAGAGTCTGTTGATTGTATGATCACAAATTAAGCAGCTAATTATTAAGGGGCAAATGCAGAAACAATAATTATAATCATAAGGTAACATAAATTTGAGAATTTTAGAGTTTATGGGCAAGAATTCACGTAATGTAACATTAAAAAATGTCATTTTCCCCCTACATCATGTCAGCCATTATTCAACCTTAATAACTACTCACATTGTCTTTTATCAAGTAAAATTTTTGTTACAGGAAATCTCACACATTAAAAACAAACATTGGCCTTTTATGACATATATAAATACTACATGTTATACAGAACAAAATAGCTATTTTGTAACACAAGACTATTTGGTAGGTACAACTTATACATATTTGTTTATCAAAAATGTTATCTATACAAATTAACAAACCAGGAGTTTATAAGTATACTGAAGACTACAAATATTGCTAAAAATATGGTATTTGAAATTTTGAGGATATAGTTTCACTTCAATTTTTAGACTTTACTTAAAAAGTGATATAATTTTAAATAGATTTAATTCCTATAAATTAGACAAATTTATGTCTATAAATTTTTAAACAGTAATCACAAAAGTAATGAGCCATATAATTGCTCCTCAGTGTAACACTAAAACGTGAGTTATTCAATCACTCAATAAATCAACTGATCAATCTATGGAAGAGACTCTGACAGTCTTTAAATAAATAAGATGACAACTCTGTTATATATTAAGTATGCTTAGAAAAAAATAAAACTTCATATGATAAAACTTTAAGCTTCTTTTATAAGGAATTCATACTATGCTGTGGATATTTCTCTTTGATTTCCCAACTAAACACTCACTTGTTTGATGCGATCTGGATTAACGGTGGTCTGGGGCTGTAGAATGCTGACTGGTTCTGTCTTGGCCACATTTTGGGGCATTTCTCGAATTTTTTCTGCAATGAATCCATGAACTGCATTCAGTGCTTCAACTGTTCCCTGGATCAAACATACTCGTTCAGTAGTACCTGTGGATAAAAGATTAATTTTTAGAAAACTTTCTTTCTTATTTTGCATTCTTTTTCAAAAAAAAGCTATGTAAAAGGATGATATAATAAGGCCAATAAAATAATGTAAAACTTTTAATTAAAAATAAATGTTCAATTGAACCAAATGTAATGAATAAATACATACATACTCCTTTCTACCATTTTTAAACTCATTCTTTCCTAACTGTCTCAAAAAAATGCCTTTGGATTCCAGTAGAGCCAGAGATCCTAAGAAGATCTGAGCATATCATTCCTTCATTGACATAAAAAGTACTTGCTGAGCACTTATAAAAGGACTTCAGGGTAAATGCTGGTAACACATAGATGAAGATCTATGGGCCCATCTTTCAAAGAGGGTATCTTAAGGGCAAAAAAACATAAGGCCAGCAATTACATGATGGTATGATGCGAAAAATAACAGGTGTACCTAAATGGATGGTGCAAACACATGGCCTACAATGAAAATAGCCTTTTTAAACTGGTGGGGAGAGGAGGTCTTGGAAAGTTTACATAGTAGGTAAATTTCTTAATTTCTACCATTCTCTATTCACTTATCCTGCTCTTCCTTTAATTATAACATCAACATTACCTGATATTTTATATTTGTTTATTCTTAACTTTTTCACTAGAATGCAAGCTCTCAGAGGACAGTGGATTAGCTTGTTTAGTTTGTGCTGTAGTTTCCCCAAAGCATTTAACACTCCCTGTATATAACAGGTGCACAACAAATGTTTATTAGATGAATGAATCAGCACTGTCATTACTATGTAATTTTAATAAGACAGAATATCAGAATTAGAAAAACTTTTAAATAGTTCCTGAAATTTGAAAATGATAAATATATAATTAATAGTTTTCTTTTCACAGCTAGTGAATGAATTTGGTTGGGTCTAATACACAGCTCCTACAACTCTATACTTTATAGATAAACCATAAGGCAAAAGAAATTCGTTTTTAGACTATAAAAGTGAGCATCATTATAGCAGCTTGGTATTAAATTGTAATCTTCCCAGCATCCCAACACAATACATAAACTTACTTATCAGAAGTATTTATTAAATAGTTACCAAGAAATATCAAAAGAATGATTATTTTTAAATTTCTAAAATATTGGGTTTTGAATTAATGCGAAAACTCCAAGTACCTAACACCTTCTTTTTGGTGCTACAGTTTAAAAATTCTAAGCTACTCTATAAAACATTTTTAAGGTACTTTCAAAGGACAAAGTTGTAAAGCAACAGACATTAAAAAAAAAAATCACAGGGCGATTACATTGCTTTAAGGATTAACTGCCTCATAAACCATTTTTCTATTTTTTCAGTAGTTTTGAATTTTTAAAAGAATAGTAAAAGATTATCATTCTTACTTCTAGTAAAAAGATTTAGATCACAAGAGTTTAAAGAATAATATTATATGAATATACCTAAATTACATCTTCTTATTTTAAACAATGAAGAGTCAAGTCTATGAAAAACTAAGTTTCCTAAATTGTACAAAGTGTTTCAGTAGAGAGCAAGTGTGCCTCTCATTTGTAAAGATGAAGAGAATCTGAAAAACATAATGTGAGTTTGAAGTCTTAATAATATTTGTTTTTTCTCCTCATCAGCTTTTTTCATCCTGTCAACCTAGATGTATCTCTGTGGTTTTTGGATAAAATGATCTAGTTTACTGCGATACTCTAGGGAAGTCCTGACAAGGTTGTATTAATTGTCCAATAACTATCTAGGAAGGATAATAATAACTGATCAATGTAGCTCATGCAAAGTGTTCTCATCTAAGGACACAAAACAAAACAGATCAGATTACATTCCTGCTTTTGGAGACAAATACAGAGTGCTCTCTTGGGGATGCCAGATAGGAAAGGATATCAGCTCAACCTCAATAGGGTTCTAAAAACCAACATGCACTAAATAACTGAAGAGATTATATAATCCATGTTGCCTTTAAAATTCTAATTTAATACACTACATATCATGTCAGGCAATACAGTAACCTCAACAGAGTAACAACAATCTTCAGAGTATACAGACTACCAGGTAGTAAATGGAAATCACTGAGCCAGAAAGAAATATGATTGTCTAAAACTGAACTTCATATAGCATATAGGAGACAATTTGGAGATAGTGATAGGTTCAAATTTGCAGCACATAATCTAAGAATTAAACTATATCACTACCATTAGTACTACAAAAAGAAAAAAAAAAGAAGGAAAAAAGGAGATTGTATATCCACCAATGGGAATTCCTGCAATTCTCAGAAGAAATACTGTCAAATTCTTCTACTGAACCCTAATAGCCTTTTCACCCAGATAACATAAAACTATAATTTTTAGAGGAAAGTCACAAAGAGAGAAAACTGTCAGGTATATGACCAAACTGTGTAACAAAAATGCACCTATAAATCATTAAAGTTGCTGTTTTTGTCACTTTAAAGGCTTTCAGGCTCCATTAGTGTCTAAACTAAACTGCCAGTTATTTATCATTTTATTTGTTTAACAGTAGCATTTACTACTCTGCAATAGACTAGCAACAAAAGCTGAAAAACAATTACATTAAAGTATATGCCCACATTTCTTATAATGTAAAGATACAGATGTATAAGACGCATTAATTTAAAAATGCATTTAAGGGAGAAATTAGAAAAACAAGTAGGGTCAATGTCAAATATAGGCAGTGAAATTTAAAGTGGTTTCAGTTTTGATTTCACATACAATATCATGTATTGAAAATTCATGCTTCTAAAATTAGGTACAATTATCAAACAGATTCCACAACAAAACTTTGACAGAATTTTAATAAAATATATTCACTTTGTGTTGTTCCTGCTCCTTCCTAAGGTATCCTATCACTTATGCAGTGGGTCCTATTCCTTCTTATCAGGCTTATGATTTCTTCAGGTATTAGATTTCTTTCTTACATCATAATTTTTCCTTTGCTATTAAATCATTCCATCAGCAGAAAAACATGTTATAATTTCTTCAATTTTTAAAGATGCCTCCTTTATGACAGAATTAAAAAATTATCTTTTGACAAAGTAAATGAAGTAACTGATTCAAGCAAAAATCATCAAATCATAAGATGAAAGGTTAATGGGTAATTTTCAATGGAAATGTTAAGGTAGTCACAAATTGACTTCCCTGATTGCCATTAGCATGACTAAGAATGAGAAAGTGGGGGTGCTGAGGTGGCTCAGTTGATTAAGCATCCAAATCTTGATTTCTGTTCAGGTAATGATCCCAGGGTCATGGGATTAAGCCCTGAATTGGGCTCTGTGCTGAGCATGGAACCTGTTGAATATTCTCTCTCTCTCCTCCCCCACTCCCTTCCTCCCTTCCTCCCTCTTTTTCTCCCCAACTCACTCATGCTCTCTCTCTGCCTCTCAAAACACACACACACACACACACACACACACACACACACACAAAACAAAACCAAAAAGAATGAGAAAGTGAACCATGTACCTCTTTATGTGAAGCAATATGACTGACACACATGGCACTAATGATGAAGTATGTTTCCCCAAGTAGATGAAAGTAAATCCAAGCAAACACTTACACTACATTAGAGTTTACAAATAATATTGAAAGCAGAAAAATAAACAACACCATGAGGAAGCAAAGATACCAATCAAGAATGTAGGACAGTCTACAGGTCAATTGTTCTTGCTTCATCAATAAAAGAGGGACTGTTCTCTAGACTAAAAGAGACTTAGATAATGACCAAATGTAAATGAGAATTTGACTGATCTAGATTCAAACAACTTTTATTTTAAACACTTGTGGCAATATAAAGTCTAGGTATTAGATAGTATCAAGGAATTACTATTAATTTCAAGAGGTGTGATTATGACATCAGGTTGTATTAAAAAACTGCCATTTTTTCCTTTTTTTTTAGATGCATACTAAAGTATGTACAGATAAAATGGGATTCAATTCAAAATATTTCTACAATAACACCAAAATGGGTAAATAAGTATGCAAGAGTTTTGATACCGCCAATATATGTGAAGGGTATAAGGGGGTTCATTGTACTATTTTTTGTATGTTTGGAATTTTCAAAATAAAAGAAAAACATTTCAAAAGCTTTCTTGACTTCATACTCTCCTCTACAGTTACAGCTCAATTTTCTTATCCCTCAAAATTTCTTGAATGAGATATATATAAAGAGATATATATGTATTAATATATGTGTAAGTATACACATTTATATCTGTGTATATATCCTCTTTCTACTTTTTCACTACTTTCTTTTTTCTTGAATCTATACCAGTATGGGTTTTGTCCCTCACTCCATTTAAACGATTTATCACAGCTGTACCTGGGTAAATCCAATCTTCATGTCTTTATGTTGTTTGATCCATCAGCAGAATTTGAGGCAGTTAACCATTCCTTACTGAAAATATTTCACTTAGCTTTCAGATTATCACACACTCGTGGGTCCTCATTTTATTCAGTTCATTCATTCATCTGACAAATGTCTATTAAGTCCCTACTAAATGTGAGGTACTGTACTAGAAGCTGAGTGACCAGACGAATCCTCCTGCTTTCATGCAGTTCATATTCTAGTTCATGGAGATACTATACATAAAACAAATGAAATACATAGAGAGAATACAAAATGAACTTGTGCTATGGAGAAAATCTGGGAACAATAACAACATGAGAAAAGATAAAAATTAAAGTATGAAAGGGACCTTGTCTGTCATGTTCACTACTGTATCCTCAAGTGTCTAGAACAGTGCACGGTATACTGTAAATGCTTTTAGAAGTCTTTCTTGAATAAATGAAAACTTGAGTCTAAAGCTTCTTATCTGTATATTGAAAACATATGTGATTACTTTTAAGAACTTTTTATGCATAAAATGACTATCAAAGACATTAGTGAACATTTTGTTTCTATGTAAGAAAATGTATCAGTTTATACTCCTACTAAAAATATAACTAGTGTCTTAATAATATGAATGCAAATATATAATTCTTT